CCCACGGGGCAGGGTCACACGGCCGGTGTCCAATAGCGTGTGGGGCTCTGTGCCCTAGAAACAGGGGTTCAGAGTGGCCACATGGTCGTTTTAATTACGCCCAGCGTGTGACAGGATGGAGACTTGAGTAGCTCAGGGGAGCTAGTCAGACAAAATCTAGAACGAAGCCAATTCCCTGACACGGATATTTATGGGGCACTTTCTGCACGTGAGACACCGCGCCTCACACAGAAGTGTGACAAGGCTGCAGGACACTGGGGGTCAGGCTACAAGACAGGAACGCTGAGGCATCTTCCCCGGGCCACCTGTCCCAAAGCCAGCGAGATATATGTCTTAGAAGGAGTTCAAAGAGCACGCTCCATCCGGGGAGAGGTGCAGAAGCTTCGGGGGGGGGGAAGGGTGGCATTTGGAAGGGTCTTTGCAGCTGGCTGGAGGCTCGCTAGCAATAATAGCCAGAGCAGGAATGGGGAGCCCAGGAGACAGAGTGGGCGGCAAGGCCGAGGCTGGGATGGGGACAGCAGGGGCCGCCGAGTCCAGTTTGGCCAGAGGGTGGAAACCACGTGGGCAGCGCTGGGAGGTGATGCTGGGGAAGAGCTCGGACGCGGGGCTCTGGGGCTAGACCTCGATTCAGTGGGGAGGGGTGCACGTGGGTGGCTGGGTACCGCACACGGTCAGAGCTGTGCTGGAGAGAGGCGGTCGGGAGGTTGCTTGCTATGCAGGGTCCATCTCCCTGGAGTGAACTTCGAGTGGTGAACTTCAGCAAGTGATAGGATGATGCCCCACCCAGGCACCGGGGAAGCGTTGACTCCAAACCCTGCCCTGCGCTCCAGCCGACCAGGTCTGACGGCTCTTCTAGGGGCTGTGCTTTCTCTTGTCTGTCGGCGGGTGCAGAGGGAAGTGCCAGAGGGAAGGGCTGGCTGGCTCCTATGAAAAACGTTCCCCAAACACTGGTAGACGGCATGAGCCGCATTCGGGCAGTCGGGCATTTGAATTGCCTGGTCTTTTTCTCCTCCCACTTTGAGTCTGGGAACAACAGCTTCCTTGAGTTTGTAGGACTTTTACACTCAAATAGGAATGGCCTCTAATGAGCCATAGGGTCTAGGCAGCATCACCGAAAGAATCATCTAAGAATGTCTCCCGGGTGTCAGGCACGGTGCCTCTGCTGCTGCACACTGCAGCCGATAACAGCAGTGCGCAGGCAGATACTTTCGTCTGCTCCCTTGCAGTTAACTCAGACGGGAAGCTCGGGTTCTTTGTGTGTGAGAGGAGGGGTTGGACGAAACCCCGTCTGGACCGGCGGTGTTTAACCTGGAGCACGCCTGCTGGGCAGCGCTGATGATAGAGAGCAAGGCCGAGTCTAAAAGGAGGCAGCGTAGGGCTTCTCCACAGAGACCCTGGCAGACGAGAGGACTCTCTCCAAGGCCAAGCTGAAACTATAAGTAGGCCCTGGTTGGGTAACTTAGGGACAACAAGGTCATGTCTTAGTCTGGGCTGCTGTAACACAATCCCATCGACTGAGGGACATAAACAACAGAGATTTATTTCTCAGGACGAGGGAGGCTGGAAGTCCAAGGTCATGGTGCCAGCCAACTCAGTTCCTCTGAGGGCTCTTTTCCCGCCTTGCAGATGGCCACCTTCTCACTGTGTCCTCATGTGACCTTTTCTCACTGCGTGTGATTTCTCTGTCCCTTCTTATAAGGGTACATCATGGGAGCTTCACCCTCGTGACCTACTTCCCTCCCCAAGGCCCCCTCTCAGATACCACTGAGCTGGCATTTAAGGCATCAGCATATGGATGTGGGTGGGCGGGACACAAACATTCTTTTGTCTCAAACAGTTCACATATGATAGACCCAGAATGAACCACCAAGAGCATTTGGGGAATGCATGGGTTATGTTACTAAGCATAATAGTAAGAACTCCTATGGGGTAGGGACTATTATTCATGTTCCCATCCTACAAGGGAGGACGTCACAGTGCAAAGAGATGAAGTGTCTTCCCAAGACACACAGCTGGGTGACAGAGTCAGCATTTGAACGGTGGCAGCCCAGGGTCCTCATGGCTAACGTGCCGTAATGCACTCTAGCCACCTGGGGGGGCAGGTGGGACAGAAGCCTGCCCTGGGTCCCTACAGCTGCCCCTTGGGGCTGCCTGTGCAGACGTGGTGCTGGGCCAGGCAGGCAGTTGGTCTGAGCCAGCGTGGAAGTGCTTGTAGTTTTAAGTCGTTCACCTAAAGTCGAGACTCTAAAGGAACAGAATTCTAACCTCAAAGAAACAGGAAGACGTACCCTAGCCCAGTGGCCAGTTGGTTAGAGCGTCGTCCCGATACACCAAAGTTATGGGTTCTATCCCCGGTCAGGGTACATGGAGGAGTCAACCAGTGAATGAATGAATAAGTAGAACCGAAAATCAATGTTTCTCTTCCCCAAATCAATTTAAAAAAAAAAAGAAATAGAAGGGCATAAAATGCAACTTTTTAATTCATGATAAAATCCACTTGACCATTTTAAAAAATTGTCTTCTGCCCAAACATTTTCTTTCCCCCGAGAGTTTAGTATAATCAACGTCCGGAGACAAGCAGGGCACCCCCATTGCCCAGAAGGCAGGCTCTTCTCTCCCCAGCTGGGCCCCGGGGGGGCGTGTGCTGGGGACCCCTCCCCGATGGGCACTCAGAAGCAAAGGGAAAGAGATCGGCAGTGACTCTGGTGGGCCTGGAAGCCGTGCCCCTGAGATTCTTCCCTTTCCGCCAGGTATTTGCCTGAGGTCACTGATGTCCTTCAAAGTCACTCTGCTCTGGGCTCCTTGCCAAGCTCTCGGTCTACTCACCAAGCAGGAAGCAGGTCGGCAGACCTGGGCTGGGCTGGGGCGAGGGCGTGCCGGCACCGGCTGGGACGGCTGTGCTGGCTCCCAGGGCTGGCTGGGGGCTGGCGGCCCGTCCCCCGGGCTGCTGGCAGTGGAGGTGGGTCTGCTGGGACCGTCCTACCTCAGCTGCGTCTGGGTCAAGCAAGCACTTTGCTCTGTCGTCAGCCAGGGAGCGGGTTTTTTCTGAGCCCTTGCTGTGCTAGGACCACTGGCTAGATGTGCAGAGAAGACAAAGTTGCCCATTACCAGGGACTGGACAGGTCAGCGGGAGGCAGCCCCACCCTGGGGCTGCAGCCTCAGTGGGCTGCGCGTTCAGGGGAATGTGGTAGGGAGGGAGGGCAACTTTTTTTCCGACACTGATAAGCTCCAGTTTGAAAATCCTGTTGCTAAAGAGCCCCCCCCCCCACCTCCCAGGCCTATGAATCCTGCTGACACCTCGCTCTCCTTCCAAGAGCAGTTGTCTGGGGATGGACCAGCTGTCCTAGCTGATCCAGCCTCTGAGGATGGGTGCACTGATCTGTGGGGTCCAGAACAGCGGCCACAGGCCACGGGTGGTGCATGAAACTTAAACTATTAAATAAAGCAGAACATCCAGCCCCTTTGCTGTGTGCAGCTTTCGGGGCTCAGCAGCCCCTCGGGGCCGGTGGCTGCCCTACCACACAGAGCAGATACAGGACGTGTACCATTTCCCTGAGCTCTACTGGGTATGTTTTCTGCACAGACCATAGCAGGAGAGCGGGGGACACCCTGGGTGAGCTATGGAGGAAGGTGCCTACAGCAGCTGAGATGGGGGAGGGAGGGTGAAGCCAGGGCCTGAGGCCCTTCCTCATCTTTCCACGCGTCTCCCTGTTTGCTCACCCACCCTGTGGTTTCGTTTGCCTTCTTCAGAGGCGTCTAGCTGAGGCCGTATGTCCAGTCCAGTGGACCTCAAACTCATCAGAACTCCTGGAGGGCTTGTTAGAAGGCAGGTTCCAGTGCTTTACCCGGAGTCTGATCGGGAGGCCTGGGCCGGGGCCAGGGAACTTGTATTTTTAACTCGCTCTCAGGTGCCACGGAGGCTGCTGGTCCAGGGGCCGCCCTTTGAGAACCACCAGTGTGGTCTGAAGAAGCACACTCGCCGGTTCACCCCTTCAGCAAGTTCTGTTTCACTCGACCAAGTGCCCTGTGCCGTTTCTGGATGGGAGCGACCCGGGCAGGGTCTCCGTTCGGGGGGCGCACTTGCGGGGAGGGGGACAGGCAGCAGTGAACCTACGTGGCTGGCAATGGATGTTCTGAAGAAGGGTGACGGGAGAGGCCTCACCGACAAGGTGACCGCTGAGCAGAGCCATAAAGAAAATGGGGGGCGGGGGCAGGCTTGCCCCCGGCCCGTCTGGTCCTGCGATGCGGCATCTTCAGCTTCTTAATGTGAAATGTGAGACAAAGCAAGGCCATCACTCACCTGATCGCTGGGTTTCAGAGACAAATTTAATTGTGCGTGTGTTTTGTTAAGAAACGTGACGTTGAAGGCCCTAGATCTGACCCCAGCTGGTAGGCTTACCCCGGGGCCGCAGTCACCTGTGCCTGCACCCCTCTCTGCAAGTGGGGAGTCCCTGGGAATAAGGGGGCTGCCACCAGGAGCCTGGATGGCGTCTCAGGATTCCCAGCCACACGATTCCAGCCCAATGCCAGGGTCCACGGGCCTCTTTCCTGCCCACCCCCTCCCAGGTCAACGGGCAACTGTGTGAGGGAGTGTTGGGTGGAGCTTGGCCTGGGAGGACCTGAGCTGTCCCTACAGGAGCATCTGGGAGTCCTAGCGAGGAGGGCGGAGCTGCCCTGGGAGGGGAGGGGCTGGATTAGGCCACGGCTCTTGCCCTGGGGTCTGCGAACATCAGGAGCAACCGGTTGGCCCGATCCCATCAGCCGAGCACCCCCTGCCCCTCTGCAGTTTTGGGGTCCAGACAGAAGAGAGGAGATCAACCAACCTGTGCTGGGAAATGAGCACATGTTGCAGGCACCGCGAGTCCTCGGTCCTTTGTCAGTGAGGACGGCGTGTGGGGGGCGTGAGCCTCACCCCCGTATAAACACAAGTCTGCCCCATGCCATGCAAACTCTGCCCCTTTAACACCTCATTCTCCTTTTCAACCTGTGACCCCTTTTAGGCCCAGCTGTCTCAGGCCTTAAACGGAGTCTCTGACAAGGCGAAAGAAGCGAAGGAGTTTCTGGTGCAGCTGAAGAACATCCTGCAGCAGATCCAGGTGAGCGCAGCCCCAGCGTCGGGAGGGCAGTGGGTGCAGCAGGTGCAGGAGACGTATCGGGGAGAAAGGAGAGTGAGTGGCAAGCGTGTTTTCAGCGGTGTCGCGGGCGGGGTGGCTGGCCCTACCGCACAGCCTCTGACACAGCAGACAGCGCGCCCTGGGTCCGCAGGCACCCAGGGGACACCTGACGCGGGAGGCAGGTTGTACGTCAACTCAGTGGGAGCCAGTCATGGAAAGAGCCAGAAAGACGTCACGCAGCAGCTCCTGCGTGGCCACGCTGTCCTGCGCAGCGTCTGTCGGGCCCCACGGTGCTCGGTGTGCATGGAACCGATGCGTCACGTGGGGCTGCCTCACTCACCCAATAAGTGCACCCACGAGCGCTCGTGCGTGCGGCTCACACCTGAGCCACACACAGAGCAGGCAGGCGCCATGCCCGGCCCCAGGAGCTCTGTGTGCAGGGGACAGTCAGGGCGCACGCCTGCCCTCCATGTGAATGCACACGCGGAGGAACAGACACACGGGGACCCGAAACGCAGGCCAGCGTCGGGATGGAGGAAGGGACGAAGGGCACCGAGTCCTCAATCAGCCATGAGACCGCTCTGCCCCACAAGTCCGAGCGCAGATTCCGCCGTGAAGCCTCTCGGGTCAGGTTCCTGATGTCTCAGAGGCGTGAGACGACCGGTTTGGTGGGGCTGCTGTACCGGGGCACCACGAACCAGGTGTTTTAAACAGCAGGAATTTATCATCTCACAGTTCCAGAAGCTCTGCGTCCAAGATCAAGGTGTCAGCAGGTTTGGGGTTTTTTCTGAGCCCCTCTCCTTGGCGTGCAGACGGCCGTCCCCTTCCTGTGTCCTCAGGGTCCTCCCTTGGCGTGAGTCCAGCCCAGCCTCCTCTGCTCACAAGGGCCCCGGCATTGGGTTAGGATGCACCCCAACAACCTCATTTTAACTGAATTTCCTCTTTAAAGGTTCTGTCTTCAAATACACTCACGCGCCGAGGTACCCGGGTTAGGACTTCGACATGGGACCTCCGGGGGCAGGGGGTGTGCACCATCCAGCCCCTCACAAGAGGCCTGACCCCTGCTGATCCTGGGGGCCCGGAAGGACTTTCTTTAAGCTGAGAAAGGCAGACCCTATAGCAGGAGCGCTGTGTATTTTCTTTGTTTTCCTGCCATTTAATTATAGAAAGCAGACGAATGGATCACGGGAATTGTGAAAAGGAGGGAATAGCCGCCAGAACAGAGAAAAGGTCACCTCCACCTCACTACCTGAGGCAGCCGCCTGCCGGCGTGCACACGCACATGGATGGCATTCTGCCGTGCATGGCGTGCAGCCTGCTTCCCCCTCTCCTGAGGGTCTCCCCAGACATTGAAAACTCTGAGGGAGGTTTGAATGAGTAAGGCGCGCTCCGCCGTAGACAGGTGGGGCAGTGCGGCAGGTTCCCCTCCCTCCCCCGCAGTCACGCTGCGCCCCGCCTTCCGACCTTGCGTGGGGGGGGGGCTCCAGGGCAGCCTCTGTGCCACACGCGTGGGTCTGTGTCCAGCACCCCCGGGTTTCAGCAATGCCTCCTCCTAAAGCACCCTGCTCCCCACAGGAAAACGGACTGGACTACGAGGCCTGCCTGGTCGCTCAGTGTGACGCGCTGGTCGACGCTCTAACGCGGCAGAAAGCCAAGCTGCTCACCAAGGTCACTAAAGAGAGGGAGCACAAGCTGAAGGTAGGTGCCCCCGGAGGCAGACACCTGCGACCCACCGAGCAGCCTGTGCACGCGGCGGAAGGTGGGGCATCAGGGAGTGAGGGAGTGAGTGAAAGAAACAGGGAAGAGATGAGCGGGCTGAGCTGCCCCTGGGCCTCCTTACACGCGTGGGACTTTCGCCGAAGCCAGTCGGCACACATGCTCTCCCTCCAAAGCCAGAGTCCGACGCCCTGAGTCCCGCTGGTTTCGAGTGAGAGGTCCCCGCTCTGCCCGGTCTCTACCTTCGCTGTTCTGCCTCCGGGACGCCCGTTCTCATCTTGCAGAGCAGAAGTGGCCACGGATGGTGACGAGGCCTTGTTCTGCTCGGGTCTCCAGCTCTGCCCCCTCCTTCAGGCTGTCTCTGATGTGCCTGAAGACATCACCGATCGCCTCTGATTACCACTGATATCACTAGTCAGTGATAATAACAGGGCCCCCCACCCACCACGGGGCGTGAGGGTCCCCCTCACACGGCACTGGGCTCCCGGTCCAGGCCGGCGCCCACGAGCATGCCGCGTTGACAAAGGACTGCTTCATTGTTCCCAGGCTTGGTCCGTTTTATAGACATTCCCCATCAGAATCAGAAGATACCACTTCTGACAAAAGAGGGAACGAACGAGTGTTGGGGGTGGTCCGTGGTTTACCAGCGGAGCAGCTGAGCCCACCCCGTTGCCCAAGGCCCAGCGGGAAGGCACACGGAGCTGGAGAGTGTCCGACTGTGTGCTCGCTCCACTCTTCCGTCTGGAGCTCAGGAAGTTTGCTCTGTCGGGTGCTGTGGCCCCGCACGTTGGGAAGCGGGTCCATTTGTCCACCAATAAACAGGGCATGTGGCACTCGGGAGCAGGGTGGCCAGAAGGGAGGGCACACAGCGGTCCAGGCCAAGGCCGCCCCGCCCAGACCTTCCTCCCTGCTACTTCTGTGACACCCGCCACAGCCGGGCTGCTCCTCCCCCGGTGAGGTGTTCACTAGGGATTCTTCCGTCGCAGATGGTTTGGGACCAGATCAACCACTGCACCCTGAAGCTGCGCCAGTCCACCGGGCTGATGGAGTACTGCCTGGAGGTGATCAAGGAGAACGACCCCGCCGGCTTCCTGCAGGTGAGCCAGCGCGCAGGCCCGCGGACGAGCCCCTGCCTCCTCTCTCCAGACCAGCAAACCAGCAAAGTCGCAGCAAGGTCCCTCTCGGTGGCCTGGAGTTGAGTAGCTTCTTCTTTGCTCAAGGGTTCCTGAAGAGCTAAGTTCTCATCTTGACTCTCCCTCTCACCACTGGTGACCTTGGTTCTGTGTCACTGAGGCACGAGCGGGTCAAGTGTCATCCTCTGTAGGGCCCAAATGCCTTGCTTTTAGGCTTTGACTCCCAGAGACCCCAGTGCAAACTTTCCCCCCCAAAGTGGAGAGGTCGGTCTTTGCCAGACCAGCTGGAAAGAAGCGAGTTAGCGGAATCCACGTGATTCTTCGCCTCAAGGTGCAGAGTCCTGCGGGCTGGACAGGTGACCACTGCCAGGCCGCCGGGGTCAGGAGCATCTCTAGGGCACCAGACAGAGATTCCGACCAGAGCTCCACCCTCCATCCGTGGAGAAAACGACTCCCCTTGCCTAGTCCCCGACATGGCAGATGGGTGTAATGGGTCTCACTCTAAGGGGACGTGTGCAAACGTCTGAACGGGCAGGACTTTGAGGCCGAGGAGAGCACAGCTGAGGGTGCTGCACAGAGTCTGGGGCAGAGGCTACAGAACCTGGGGAGGACACGCACCCGGTGGGGGCAAGCTTCCAAATTCCGGGGCTAGGGCGGTGCGTTCTTCAGACCCCGTGGCAAACAGCGCCTTCCACGGTGTTGAGGTGCCGAGTGTAGCAGAAGCGGCAGAATGAAGGATGCGTTTGTATGTCTCGAAGTGTCACTGGTTTCACGAAAGGGTTTGGCCCGTGTGAAGTAGCCAGGACACTTCACACTTCACATGACTGCACATTTGAAATACAGTTTAAACAGCACAGTGCCTTCTTTGCATTTGTCCCGTGTCATACTGGCAGCGGTGCCGACTGAGCACAGCCCCCTCTCGTCCCCAAGCACAGGGACAAGGCCCCAACTGCTCCCTCACCACTCACTGCGTGACTTCCCCCTTACAAATCAAAGCCCTAAACTGTGTATTCCCTTTAAGATCTCGGACGCCCTGATCAAGCGTGTCCAGGTGTCTCAGGAGCAGTGGGTCAAGGGCGCCCTGGAGCCAAAGGTGTCTGCGGAATTTGACCTGACCTTGGACAGCGAGCCACTGCTGCAGGCCATCCACCAGCTGGACTTCATTCAGATGAAATGTAGGGGTGAGCCGGGACTGGCCCAGTTCCGTCAGGGCTTCTGTTGGAACAGGTGTCCCCTCCAAGGGGCAGCTGAGTGTCAGCAGGAGGCTGCGGGACAGGGAGGGAGGCAGCTGGGAAGGAGGGACGCCCAAGTCGCAGGCCTGGCTCCGGTCCCAGCTCAGCGTCCCACGAGCTGGGTGACCTAGGGCAGGTAACACCCTGGTCCAAGCCCAGGTGTTCCGTCTGTAACAGTGTCATTGGCTCGTTCAGTGACACTGGCTGAGTGTGTATGCCAGGCACTATTCCGGGCGCTGAGGACGGAGCGGGGAACAGCCCTACAAACTCCCTCACCAGACTGAGCTGATATTCTAGAGAGAAAAATAGACTATACACAGACAAACCCATAAGATGCCATCTGATAGAGGCAGGCGATTTTCTGGAAGGGGCAGTGGAGGTGTGTTGAGTTGAGAAGGGGGAGAGAGGTGTGATATGGGGAAGAACGTTCCAGGGATGGCAAGTGCAAAGGCCCTGAGGCAGACATGGGTTTTCTGCTGTTCCAAGCAGAGAAGGGAAGTCAGAGGGGAGAACAGAACGAAACAGCTGGAGAGCGGTAAGAGGAGAGTTCAGAGAGCCACGGCAGACACAGGCTGAGGATTAAGTGAACTTTGCATAACTTGCCCACATTACAAAATTGGCCAGACCCAGAATGCTATTCTATGGGCAGCTTCTCCAGAGGCACCCAGGGGGCATTCAGGAGAGGGAATAAAACTGTTTAGATTTTTTTAAGTGGAACTAGCAAAGGGGGTGAGTGATACACCTACAGAATCCACGAGCTCAGCAAAATCTTTGCCTGAAAAATATGTGGCCATTTGTAAACTAATGAAAAAAAACCCCAGCCTCTTGCACATCTCCACACTCACCCCCATAGTCAGCTTACACCTGGAGGCAGGGTTGGAAACGCCAGGTAGCCCAGGTGCCCACGAGGAACAGGAGGAGAATGGCAGGGTGGGGCAGGAAGGAGGGGGTGGCGCTGGAAGTGGGGGTGCTGCAGAGGAGGCTTGGAGCTTCTCCAGATGCCGCTCTGGACGGAGGGGGCGGCGGGGTTCATGGAGGACCGGGGAGAGAGCCCAGGCACACACGGAGGGCCCTGCGTGTTGGCCGGCCGAGGTGGAAACCTGGGGGGTGGTACCCTAACGTCTGGCACCAAACCTATAGATTGTACAGAACTGATATGCGGTTTTCCCTTTAGAAAAAGTCAGTGGGAACTACCTCTGTTTCTGAAATTGTTTGAGCCGGAACACAGCTTTAGAACAAAATCATTCTCCCAATCTCGCCTGAATAGAGTTTATGATATGTTTGATTCAAATCCCTGCTCCCACGGGTTGACTGCCCGATTCCCCCAATGACACCCCCTCGCCCCCATCGCGGATCTAGTTGGGGGGGTGGGCAGGCTTGCGCTCCCACCCTCTCTCTGCGGGGCACAGCCATTCCTTTCCCTTCGCCCTCCTTCCCCCCCCCCCCCGGGCCCATTACCTGGGCTCTCTCTCTCTCCAAAGCTCCAAGGGCCCTTCTTTTGCTGGAGTAACTTGTTTCCTGAGCCCGTGAAGCCCAGTTGGCTAACTTCTACTACCTTTGCAACTTTCTAAACGTTCTCTTATAAGAAGAAATAAAATAAAAAATAGAATGCTCCCCGCCAAAGGCTTACATGTGCCTTTGCATTTTGCGGCCCCCACCCCCAGCCCCTTCCCAGCCCCAGGTGTAGGCGGCAAGCTGGCCCCAGAGGGTCCCTGGGGGCCGTGCTGGGCTCGGAGGCACGTGGATGGAGGCTCTGCTGGAATTCCCAGGGCCCCTCACCGTCCAACAGTCAAAGCCCATGCACGTCAGTGTGGGTGGCAAGGGACCACCCTTCCTTATGGAGGTGGAGGCACCTGCCGTGGCCCCGGAGATTCCTGGACACCCAGTGCCAGCCCTCACCAAGCTGCCTTCAGTCTGGACCCCTGGGGCGAGGCTGGGAGTGGCTGCAGGGTGGCCAGGACGGGGTTCAACCACATTTCCTCTGGTGGCTGGGATGGGCGGAGGGCCCCGGGTGCCCAGTGCCCTGAGGAGGGGTGTGCTCTAAACCTGGCCCTCCCGTCACAGTGCCGCCCGTCCCCCTGCTGCAGCTGGAGAAGTGCTGCACCCGCAACAACAGCGTCACGCTGGCCTGGAGGACGCCGCCCTTCACCCACAGCCCCGTGGACGGCTACATCCTGGAGCTGGACGACGGGGACGGGGGGCAGTTCCGGGTGAGCCCTGCTGCTGCTTTCAGGGGTCCGAACGCGCAGGCCACGGTGCCTCTCGCTGCCCCGACCGACATCCAGGGCAGCCCGAGAGGCTGCCCTCAGCCCTGAGGCCACCGGCGAGGGCACTGGCCCCAAGGACAGAGGGCTGGGGGTGCAGGGGCCTGAGGCAGGAGGAGGCTTTCTGTGTTCCAGGGAAAGCAAGGAGGCCAGAGGGGGCCGGGGCTCACGGGAGAGGGTGGGCCTTGTCTCCCCAGGGCTAGGTCAGGGTGGGCCCAGCAGGTGGAGTGGTGGCCATAGGGAAAGCCCAAGGCGACTTTTCTGTGAAGACTGACACAGGTCTGAGCTGGAGCAGAGCTCAGAGAAAGCGTGACCTTGCACGGGCCTACCTCCCCACTGACCCGGTAGTACAGTCCTCCCTGCTCCCCACACCCTCCCACGCAGCGCCCCAGTCCCTCAGTGCTCTCTCACACCTTGCCTGGCTCACTCTTCCTTTTGCCTGCATGCGGAAGACACTTGATAAAGAACTGCTGGAATCCGGTCACCTTCTGAAATGCATGGCCCCAGTGACGAAATACCATGGGAACGATAAGGGCTCTGAGTGAGCCAGAAAGATGTCTTCGACTCCCTCATCTGGTCTCAACCCTGGGACAGGCCCCCTGCCCCAACCCAGGCCCCTAATGGAACTTACCTTGAGATTTGGCACAGCGAAGTTCAGGTCACGGTCAAGTTGGTTCGTTGACACAAACACCAGGAAGCACAAACACGGGGTCGTGTTACAGCTCCTGCTTTCTGTCCCCGGACACTCTGCTCATTAATAACTCGGACAAACAGATGAAGAGTAAGGCGCCGGAACAACGAGGCAGGGAAGACGCTTTAGACAGAGTATGGAGACACAGGACAGGTGTAAGGGGACCTTAGCAGGACAAGGGTAAATGGGACGTGAACAGGGAACAAGGTAGATCCCTAGAAAAAAAATCTTTGGGGTTGGATGCAGAAATATCTCACCCTCCTGGGGGGCCAAGAAAAAAGCCACTGGAGGGTGGGGAAGGGGGAACTGGGAGTGGAAGATGCCAACTCAGGGGTGGGGGAAGGCGGGAGGCTGGAGCACCCCTCTCTCCCCAGAAGTGGTTCCAACCCAAATCAGTTGGAATCCACGGAGCTTGGTCATACCCTTCCTTTGTCTGACTTTCTCCATGTGTGTGCGCGATGGTCCTTATTCCTAAAACGGTCCTTTCCTGTATGTGGATGCGTGGCTGCTTTCTGTAACTCCAGTCCCCGTCGGAAACTCTTCTAGTGCCGCGTGCAGGGAGGAAGGGGCGCTTCCGCACCTTCACGGCCCTGGAGGCGCTGGCGTCGGAGGGCTGGCTCTGCCACTGCCGGACGCTGTCTGGCTGCGTCCTGCTGACTACAGACCTGGGGTCCCTCCCTGCCTCCCTAGGACCCTGTCACACCTCACGGGCTCACAGGCTGAGGGGCTGGTCAGCCACTGGTGAGGGTCGGTTCCTGATGTGGACACGGTTGTGCCCCTGCACCGCCGACTTACCCAAATGTCCCGTGTTCCGTAACTCTGACACGCTTGATGCCGACGTGTCGCGGAGAGAAGGTACCCTAACGAGCTTCCCTGGCTCTCCTGCAGGAGGTGTATGTCGGCAAGGAGACCCTGTGCACCATCGACGGCCTCCACTTCAACAGCACCTACAACGCCAGGGTCAAGGCCTTCAACTCCTCTGGCGTCGGGCCTTACAGTAAGACTGTCGTCCTGCAGACTTCCGATGGTGAGCGCCGGGGTGAGGGGAGGGGAAAGGCAGACGCAGGCACGATGGGTGGGTGAGCTTCTGAGGGAGGAACCCACATTTCGTCTCAGCGACCGAGAACAACTATCAGCTGCTGAGGACAGAGCATGACAGAGAGGAGGGGATGAGGTGGCAGTGAGGGGTGCACGTCTGCCCACCCAGTCCCTGCTTTGCTCACCTGCTCCTTGCCCCCCGCTCCTCCCTCCTCACAAGCCACAAAGGACAGAGACATTCCTTCATCCCATTTGCTGGGCCTGGCAAAGGGCACTAGCATTTGAGAGGCTCTGGGAGACTAAAGTCCCACTTCTGAGGGACTCAGAGTGGGCAAGACAATCCCAAGGAGGAGACGGCCGCGCCGCCACCAGGGAGGTGTGCCAGCTCCCAGACCCCAGCCTTCCTCACCTCAGGAACCTGGTCCCTGAGCACCCAGTGCAGGAGCTCAGGTCTGTGGCTTCCACAGCTCGAGGTGGCCTTTCAGGTTTCAGGCAACGTGACCACACCCACAGGGATGGCTGAGCACTCGGCGGGAGCCATGATGTAAATAAGGCACACGAGCCAAAGAGAGTCTGTCCCACTAAATGAGGCCATCCTGCCCAGGCCGCAGACGTTCCAGGACGGTGCCAAGCCTCTGTCATTGTCCTCATTTATCCCAGCACACCTCGGACTGCCCAGGAAAACGTGACGGGGCCCTGGAGGAGGGAGGACAGGAGCAGACGCTGTTGTTAGGGGCACAGCGGGGAAGCTTTTCTGGAAATGATGTGACTTGTGGAGACGTTTTATGTACCGCGAGGCTCACTTGGCTTTCTGCCCCTGGGAGCTCCTGGCCTGAAGATGGGTAGCCCTTACCCTGTGCATCGTGGCTGTGATTTTAGAGGAAGGGCCTCATTTCCCAGGACCAGAGGGGGTTGGGGAGCAGGTGGGGGCCCCACCCAGTGGGCTAGGAACTGGAAGAATGGAGCCCTGTGACTTCGATTCCATCACTTCCCCTCTATTGTCTCAAGTCTCCCACTCACAAAGAGGTGGGGCATGAGCATCTCCTTCCCCTTTAACCCCTAACAGCATGGGAAGGACGCAGAGTGGCTTCGCTCTGAATCCACCTGCGCTTGCTCACGCAGAGGCCAAGGCTCTCTGAAGTGCATTAGATGTGGGGCTTCTGGGCCCGAAAGTCTGGGTTTCTTGGCAGGTTGTGTGAGTGAGATTGGGAACATGGATGAACACAGATCGGGGTGTGCATGCAAGTGTGCGTGTGCATGTGCCTGTGTGTGTGCATGTGTGTATCACGCTGGGAGGAACCCATGACACCGGGCCAACTTCCCGATAGATGGGAGCGAGCCTGAGTCTTTAAACCCAGGCTGGATGCTGCTAGCAGATTCCCTCCCCTGACCTGCTCCTCTTGCCTCCTCCCTTTCCAGTGGCCTGGTTCACCTTTGACCCCAACTCTGGGCACCGGGACATCATTTTGTCCAATGACAACCAGACAGCCACCTGCAGCAGCTATGACGACCGGGTGGTGCTGGGCACGGCGGCATTCTCCAAGGGCGTGCACTACTGGGAGCTGCACGTGGACCGGTACGACAACCACCCGGACCCCGCCTTCGGCGTGGCCAGGGCCAGCGTGGTCAAGGACATGATGCTGGGCAAGGACGACAAGGCCTGGGCCATGTACGTGGACAACAACCGCAGCTGGTTCATGCACTGCAACTCCCACACCAACAGGTGCGTGGGGGCCCCTCGCCTGCCCTCCTCACTCGAGGGAGTTTGGGAAGGGGGGGCCCCTAGGACCCATGGCCCTCCTGCCTGTCCCGAGTCCAGGCATTAGGAATGTGGGAGGTGTTTCCAGCCACACTGGTGTCTAATCTCTAAGTGGCTTCGACTCTGACCAGGTAGAAGTGAGCACAGCCCCAGTGAGTCAGCGGGAAACCGGTTACGCAGCACGGCGCGTGTGCGCCCAGGTTCTGGGGGACCCTCAGCTGTGGTTCTGTCTCTGCGTCTGCTCCCCTTTCCTTCACACGCTGTCAGCTCAGGCTCGCTCCCTGCACTGTTGGGGTGCTCCCTGCTGACGACTCTGTAAGGGGCTGCCCCGGGAAGACGCCTCGATGCCTGGGCGCCCCCAGGGACTGTGAGCGCCCTGACTGAGGAGGCCGAGGGTCCGCACCTCCCATCATACCTCGGGGTCCTCCTTCTCCTCTTCCCCCGGGGGTTCTGTGTGTAGGAGGTGGGGGCAGGGGGACCCCTCAAAGTTGGCATTGGCTGAAGACCCAGAAATGCAGAGTCAGGCCACCTCGAGACCTCCTGGCTGTGGGTGTCCTTCCTGGTCTGCCAAAGGTTGTCTTTGCAACCGGGAGAGGGCAGGAGCCCCAGGGAGAAACTCAGTGGACCCCGCTTTGGGCAAAGTGGGCCCTGGAGGTTCTCTGTGTGCTGAGTCCACCTGCTGCTCCTGCATGTGGGTCGTGGTCTGGGGCCAGGACTCAGAGGACGCCTGAGGGTCCCCAGGGAACCTGGAAGCTCACCAGGCCCCTTCCACCCGCCTTTCACTGGCAGAGGCCTGGGGGAGGGTGGCTCCAGCCCTCTGCACCCTGACCCCACTCTGGCTAGCTGGGCCCCTGGCTGACCCGCCCCCTGTTCCTGGACCACAGTGGGCGGGGGTGCAGGCCCACATCCCTGCAGCACCAACTTGGTGGCAGACGCTGTGGGAAGCCCCGGTTTACAGGATCTCGTTAAGGCCTCACAAAAGTCCCAGTGTCATCTCCATTTTACAGATGATGAGACTTGGGCTTAAAGGTGAACTGGGGCCTAAGTCACTGGGCTAATTAGTGGTGCCGCAGAATTCACCTTAGGACCCTGGCTGGGTTCTAGGGACGGGGTGGGGATGGGGAGGAGGTGCTGCTGCTGCTGATAGAATAGTCTGAGACCTGGTGCAGCAGGAGTGGAGCGAATCCGCAGGCAGGGGCCGCTGGCGCTGACCTTGGACAACACTGACCTTGGGCAGAGACTGGGCTGGGTGGTAATAACGCTCCTGCATCTCAGGCTGGTGGCTACCGCCCCCTGTTGGTCGGTGTTAGAATAGCATCAACAGCCAAGTTCTCGTGCCCTTTCCCACACGCTGGACCCTGCTGTGGGGCTCCCAGCGCACCCTCCCAAAGTCACGACCTTCCCTGCTCTCTGCCTCGCCTTCAGCCTCCAGCGGATCGCTCATTTCCAATTCGCAAAGGACACAAATGGCTTTCTCACCAGGCAGCTCAGCCTCGGTCAGGGTCCAGCCTCAGCCCAGCGGGGAGGAGGCAGGTGGGCAGAGGTGCCCGAGAGTGCTGCTCCCTGGATTCCAGGGTCTTCCCACTCAGTGGGTGTGAGTTTCCACCACCACGAAACGTACAAGAGTATCACCGACATTTGTCTAGAGCTTCCCAGTTTATCCCCAGGTCTGCCAATCACCTGTGGGCTGTTACTCAGACGGGGGGACTCAAGTCCACCTCCAGTGCCTGTCCCCTGCCATGTGCTTCCTCGCCAGAGGCCCGGATACTTCCAGGGGGAGGTGCTGAAGTGGGGGGAGCCCTCCAAAATCTGGGCCTGGCCATCTGCCCCTGCCCTCACCTCCTCATCGGCACCAGCTACTGCCAAAAGGGGGCCCGGTGGGTTCTTTCCCTGGCAGACCAAGGAGCCCTCCCACCCCGGCTCCCTACCTGCATTTTCACGTGGGGACGTTAACTCCCTCATTGGGCCCCCAACTCCCTGGTGTTGGGTCTCAGTCGCAGTCGGGAAAGAAGGGGCTGCGCACCCTGGTCCCTCTAGAGTGAGGAGCCTTACCGGAGGGGAAGGTCTTCCCCTGAGGCCCCTTAACAGGTGGGTGTGCTTCGCTCAAAGGATCACAAGCCCAGAAGAACAGCTCCCTGCACCACGAGGGGCTGCGTGCTTTAGGTGAGGGCATCCTCGGTACCCTTCGGGCGGTTTCCCTGAGCCCCCACCCACTTCCCAGGCTAGGAGTGGTGACGGCTCCCCCTGGGCCCTCTCTCCCCCAGGACGGAAGGCGGCGTGTGCAAGGGGGCCACTGTGGGCGTGCTGCTGGACCTGAATAAGCACACGCTGACCTTCTTCATCAACGGGCAGCAGCAGGGCCCCACAGCCTTCAGCCACGTGGACGGGGTCTTCATGCCGGCCCTCAGCCTCAACCGCAACGTGCAGGTGCCTCCCCCACCCCCACCCCCAGGGCCAGAGCCTGTCTGGCTGCTTCCCCTGCTGCTCCGGGGACCCCTGTGGGGCACTTGGGCAGAGAGGGCCATGGAGGAGCCCACCACAGCGCCTGCCCAGGTAGAGATCTTACCTAGTGGCCCAGCTTGGGTGTTCCCCGGAGACCATCCTCTCTGGCATGATAAATTCCCCCTGTTCCTTTGAAACGGGCAGAGGCGCCAAGGCGGCAGTGTGGGGAGAAGCCGGGGAGGGTTGGGGCAGGAGGATGGACCAGGGAAGACGAAGGGATTCCATTTTCTGGGGAAGCGATCAGAGCAAAGCCAGTCCATGCCTCTGCCCAGTATAGACCCTGATGGCCAGGCACCTACTGGGGCCGTTGGAGGTGCAGGGGTCAGGGGCGGCGAGTCATATGGAGCTGCCCCATGGCTTTGCCCTGAGAGCAGAGTTGGGGACAGCCAGCCCTAAGGCGCTGTGAGTCCGGTCCTGTTCTCTCTTAGCCCTTCTGCTCTTCTCTGGCCCCCACGTGAAGCAGGCAGGAAATCTGTCCCTTAGAGCTCAGGTCTGGGTGGGTCCTAGAAGATGCTGATGGCTCAGGAGCTCCCCAGGGAGGGAGAGAAGTGAGGGGGTGCCACCCTGTGTCTCCAGCAGAGTCCTCGTCCCCCAGGGAGCAGGGCAGGTGGGGGCGGCAGCCTCCCCATGGTACCCGTGGCCCTGAATATTGATGGTCTACACCAGCCACTTCCTGATTGGTTTGTACGTCCACGCCCTTGCAGGAGGGCTCTGGGGCGGCCTGAAAGATGGGCTTCTGTTCCACAGGGTTGATGGCACGGACACAGGGAAGGAACGAGGGCCACGGGGAGAAAGCAGGAGCAAGTGGACAGCCAGCACCCCTGCAGAGTGGGGCCCAGGCAGCGGGGGGCTCTCATGATGGGGGTGGGCGCAGACCAGCTCCTGGGTGGGGGACTTGTGGACCTTACAGTAGTGGTTTGAGCAGCGGCCTCAACAGCGGACCCACAGCACGGAGCAGCTGCAGCCTGTGGGGACCCAGCAAGCTGCGCGTAGCCTGTGGCCGCCACGCTGTCTGGGTGCTTAGGGCTCGTGGGATGGGCTCTCCACCCTCACCCAGCCTGCCTTTGTTTCCAGGTCACCCTGCACACAGGACTGGACGTGCCAACAAACCTGGGACGGCCAAAGCTGTCGGGCAACTAGCCCCCAGCTCCAGCCGTGCATGGGCCTCGGAGAGAAGCCTGCCACCCCTCGCTAAATCTCAATTCAACAACCACATGGGCAGAAGACCGCGTCACCATGTGACCCAGAAGCCGCTGAGACACGTTTTCTTTGGGGGACAGAGGATGGGTCTGCAGGCCGGGTCTGAGGAGGCCACCGCTGGTACAGAACATGGGCACGTGTTCCGCTTGGTCCCGCACGGACTTTTCAAATACTCGCCAAGAAGGACCTTTCTCAAGGGAGAGAGAAAGTATTTGGGGTTTGTGGTTCTCTTTTCTGCCATCTGTTTTCAGAGCTGGTCTTTTGGTGAGGAGGGTGAGCGTCTAGCGGGGCGGGGGGGCACCCCATCCTGAGAGTAGGTGGCAGGAGACCCTCTGGAGCCCCATGTCCCGAGGGTCCAGCTTTGCTGGGTGTCACTCCTTCAGAGTCCCAGTGTTCTCATCTTTGCTGGGAAAACTTCTTTCGCTTTCTGGTCCTGGGGACGTCGGTACGTTCCGCCGCTTGCAGCCCTAACCCAGGCTCGATAAAAAGGGCACTAACCATTCAATTGGTCTTCACCTCTCTCGCTTCCTTAGGTCCTTCATTCATCAACCAGTCAATCTCTCTCTCTGTCTCGCACGTGCACACACACAATAGTCTACTAAAATTGATTCACTCAGCTCTCAGTTCTTAAACAGAAGAAAACACTGACATTTGAATTTCAATGACTATGTGACAAGTCTCCACCTGGATCCGGCTCCCCAGGAGGTCACCTGCAAACCTGGCTGAGTCCTGCTCGCTCAGACTCCCAGCGAGTAGCAGGGGAGGCCGGGGAAGCCTCTGAGAGCAGGCCCGCCTTCGCTTTGAGGTCCGTCTGTCTGTCACCATGAACGCCTCACGAGCAAGAAGTGGCCGTCGTGGCAGAGTGGTCCTCCCGCGACGGGGCAGGCAGGGCCTCTGAAAGGCAGGAAGTGGACAGCAATATCGTGTTCCTTGTCTCCCAGTTTCCCAGCATGAGCCTGGGTGTGCGGAGGCCGTGAGGCTGGGGTGGGGCTCAGGCTGAGCCCATCCCTCCTTGCTGAGAACACGGCCCTTCTCCCCTGAGACCCACGTCCAGTCATGTTCATCTCTCAGCACAAGAGCTCGTTCCAGGTGCTGGTCCTGCCCCAGAGCACCTTGCTCCTCTTTCCTCTCCCCCTTCTCCTTGTCACCTGCCACCTCCATCTCCAACTGGTAGTAAACCTCTCACCTGTTTACAAGAATATATTTTATCAAGCATTTTATTTTTGAGGTTAAGGAGTCACTTCTCTTTGCTGGATCGGATTTTTATAAAACTGAGCCCGTAAACCGGCCCTTACTGTGTCCACTTGGTTCTAGCTGCTTGTCAAGACACCGCACTTGCTTTCTGAGTGACCCGGCCCAAGCTGGGCAGGCCCTGCCCTCTGTTCAGCAGATCCGACGATCCTACCTCGAGCCCCTGCTCCTGGACCTCCAGGCTGCTTTGTCCGGCTGTGTCCACAGGTGTGGCCGGCTGGGCCAACTGCCTGGCGGCCCCAGGAGCTGTCTGGTGCTGTATTTAAGCCTCACGCGCCAAGGTCCTGGCAACCAAGGCCACCCCGGGCTGCACCCGGTCTTCATCTGTGAAGACCTCTCAGCTGCCTCTCTTCTCTGCTTCCACGTTCCTTAATTTCACTCCTTTGCCATAGCTCTGGGTGGAGTCGGCTTGGAGGATGGGGAAAGATTACTGAAGATTGGAAGACACGGAAGAGCTATGGCTTCCTGGGGCCAGTGAAGCCATGGGCAACTGGTCCAGATGCATCAGCTTTGGGAAACGTCTTCTGGAAAAAGACTAGGCCAGTGTGCCAAGAATAAGAGTGTGCCTGGGAAGTCGGGGAGGGCTTCCTGGAGGAGGTGGCTTTTTACAGTGGAATCCAGGTGAGAGGCTGCAGAGTTCCCAGAATCATGGAAACAGGTCGCCAGGCAGCCCTGGCTCTGCATCTCTGGAAGGGAGCCGCTGACGCTCAGCCCAGGCTTGGTGTCACCCCCGGAGAGCCAGCACCTAGGTCCCAGGATGACGTGGAAAGAGAGAAGGGATATTCCCGCAATTTCAGGTGGCCTCTGTAGGAAGAAAATTACCTGAAATTCACAGAGAAGCCACTAAAACACCCTGCCACTCCCCACGGGCAGCAGGTGGGAGGTCCTGTGGGTGCCAGACCGGCGTGACTCCACCTGTTCTGACCCCTGCAGAAACGTAGAAGCAATACGGCTGACACCAGGGACAGCGCCAGGCTGTCCTGCAGCCACCTCTCCGGTCTTCAGCACAAAACGCCTTTCAGGGACAACAAGGGACCTAAAAGAGAAGGCAGTTCCATGCCACACACTCGAGTCTTCGAGGGATCAGCAACACGGAGCAGGAGGCCTGCAGCTCCTGGTGGCCTTCCGTCGTCACCCTCCCCGGAGGCTCTGGGAGTCCAAGCAGAAGCCGCACTGCGGCATTGAGGTTATTGAGGAATAACTTGGTGTCCATCTACAAAGCAGTTTCAGTGAGATGGGGACTGAAAGTGACTTAAACCCGGTTCCCCTGCCTTGTAAATAACACCTCTGTTTGGCAGCTCCTCTGCCCTCTGTTCTTCACTGGTCAGCAAGTTTGGTCAAAGCCTATGCCTTTCTTTTTGGAATTAATCTCTTTCCAAAGTTTCCAATAGCATCTCACTGCATAGCCTCCTAGCTCCTAATTCACAGCAACGTAAGACATTACTCAGCCCCGCCTTTCCCCTTTCGAACCAATTAATGATTCCAGTGGGACACCAGAAATCCTGGCCCACAGAGGAACTGACCTATAAACTGTACCTAGTTCAAGGCTGGATCTTCAGCCCTGTGTGTAGCCCGCAGTTGCAACAGCACCCTCAGCACTCGGAGTGAGCCTGGGCCACTCCGTGGGGTCCGCCAAGGGCACAGGCCTGTCCATCCTTGCTCTTGGTGCCCCTGCCTTTGGCTACCCAGAGCACTCTCAGCAAAGCAGCAACATGAAGGACCTGTGTGTACTTTTCCCAGGGCTATTTGCAGTTCAGCCTTAATCCTAATCACAGGTGTAAGGCCTGGTCCTTTTCGAAGGTATGTTTCAGCACAGGTGACAGGTGGCCCATAGGTGAACTGCTGCGGCCCCATGGCTGCCTGCTGGCTTTGAGACAGGGCAGGTCAGGTCCTTGGGGACCTGACAGGTGGATGCTGAATGGCACGGTTGCAAGGCCCACGGAAGGTGCCGGGGTTCTCAGCCTCGGCCCCATCGACATCTGGGGCGTGTCCTGGGCGATGCTGCGCTGTGGGGGCTGCTGCCCTGTGCACTGGAGGGTGTTAGCAGCATCCCTGGCCTCCACCTTCTCGGTGCCGGTAGCAGCCCCCAGGTTAGTTGTGACATTGAAAGTGTCTACAGATATGGCCAATGCACCCCAGGGGACACCCCTGGTTGAGGACCACTGGGTCATGCAAGTAGTCTGTCACGTGTCAACAGGCAGTGAGGAAGTGGGGAAGGGGTGTCTGCTCAGTGATGTGGGAAACCTGCATGACAGGGCTGCGGGCCCTGGTCTCTGTCCCCAAGCCCAGGCTTCTCGGCAGGGCTGCGGTGCTCCACCGGCTGGGGACTGGCAGGGAGAGTGACGTCAGTGGTGAACAGGATGCAACCTGTCCAATGCACTTTGCGTTCACCAAAGATGCCCCGGCCCCCACCCCCGTTCCTAGAAACGAAACTCCTTCGCTGCCCTTGGCCACTTGTGACTGAAATCAGCAGAAACTTCTTAATGGGCTGGTGGTCTGTAACTGCTTGGAAGCGTGCCCAGACATCCTCAGAAGACACTGGAGGCCTGTGCTGGGCCTGGGATGTCTCAGGACTCCTCTGAAGGTGAACTAGGCCCCTGGCTGTTCCCAGTCATCACTTTCCTGGCTGTGAAATAGACAAGAGTAGGTTGTGGGCAGGATGTACTGATCAGACGCCAAGCTCGACCCTCAGAAACCCATCTTCTAACCTGGCTTGGATACTGGGCCAGGCATGGGTGGGGGCAAATCTCCTAAATCTTTCTGTGCCTCGGTACCCCCACCCCAAAATGGGACTAGTCCTACTAACCTACCTCCTCTGACTTATTGTGAGGATTATGGAATAACACTTAAAGAAGTCTGTCATCTCGTAAGTCTAGGTTCACAGCTCACATTCAATGTATCAAGTCCATTGGTGGCTTTGTGGAGTGTTCTCTGACCACAGTGTCTTCCATCCAAGCCTCTTATGACCGCGTTTCTCGCACAGTGGCCTGGCCTTGCGGGGTGAAGCTGATACTTCACGCAGTCCTGACGCTGCAGAAAGCAGCGTCCTAAGGGTCCCCGCTCCCAGCGGCCCTGCGTCTGCGGCCTCGTCCTCTGTCCCTGGGGCATCTGTATGCAGAAGTTCCCTTCAAATATGAAGAGATAACACCCCCATTTCTAACTCCTCGGTCACTATACATTCTGGTATTTAAGGGCTCCTCCACCCATAATGTGACCCCTTTGTTGCCAAAGGTCTCGACAGAGGGAGCGCTTGGAGCCAGGGTCTCAGAGAAAGGTGACATGCCCCTGAGCCGCAGCCTGGAGGGCAGGGCAGGGGGGCTCCAAGGCCTAGGGGCTGTGCCCTGCCAGCCCTGGAGCTTCCCTCGTGCTCACTGCCCGTGAAGGCGGGTTCCCAGTTTCTGCATGAGAGACCTTGACTTTCGTCAGAAGGCGTTGGGAGGTGAGACCTGAGGGCAGGCGCTGGTATTCTCCCAAAGGGCACTAGTCCCCGGGAGGACCCAGGGGCTCCTGGGCCAGCAAGGCGGGCACCACCTACCAGGCTGGAGGCTCAGGAAGGCTCCAAAAATGTAAGACAAGTTTCGGGTTTAGAACAGGGGCGGCTGGAGGCGTGGCTCCATGTGCTGGCGGGATCCCCATGCTGCCCCCGGAAGGCCTTCCCCACCCCGTGCTGGGGCCCCAGCACAGGGAGCCAGTGAGGGGCGAACAGAGCAGGAAGAGTTAAATGCATGACGCAGAATCGCTGCTTTCGCACTGACCCAAGTTGTATTAAGCATGAGATGTGTTTGACGTTGGCGAAGGAATTTAAAAAGTAACGAAGCGCTTTGTGTCCTTGTTTTGGCTGTCGACAGAACTTCCATTTTCCCGACGTTCTTTACCCTCCTCTCCCTCCCTCCTCCCCCATCGCACCCACTTTGTCACTAGTTGTTGGTGTTTGGTGGCAGCCCTTGGTCCCTCCAGCGTTCGTGTCCCACGGGAAGCACGGAGGGGGCGGGGGGAGTGCTTTTTCTAATTTTTGTATCGGTATCCACAAGCCTTTGTATTTTTTGGATTGCAAACACTGTGTTTTCTGGTCTCTGGGGGTTGGTTGGACTTTGTGTATTGGCTTTTGGAAAACCTGAGTTTCACCACAGTCTCGAGCAGATTTGAAATAAATTCTTTTGACACTGCCAACAACTACAAGGCAAGGTGTGGTCTGTGATGGCTGGTGGGCGGCGGGCGGCCCCTTCCCCAACGGGCCCTGGCTGCCGCTGCACGGAGCAGAGGCTGCGCAAGGGATGGCCGCCCCGCCTCCGGCCCAGCGGGCCGGTGTCAGGCTCCCGGGTCCGTGCGGTTGTGCGGTCCCTGCCAGGAAACCTCGAGCGGATGACGCGTGACTCAAAACCACCAAGTCCCCCTCAAACAGCAGGGGCTCTTGGAATTCATTTCTGCGAGAGGTGACGCAGCTGGAGACTGGGAACAGTGAACACACGGTCGAGATAATTTATGAATAAAAATGACCACGGGCTGTTAGTGGAAACAGGTTGGGCCAACACCCTAGCGAACCCAGAGCATCGGAGCCTACGGACCGGTCCTGTCGTCAAAGCCCGGGTGTCTGATGCGGAGGCCGTCCCCGTTGCTTTCTCCAGATCACGATCCTCAGGGTCCGCTACCTCTCGGGCTCCCCAACAGCCCGAGACTGGCCTTGCCCTCTGTTCCCTGCAGATCACCGTCCAGTGGGTAGGGACGGTGGCAGGCTCTGGGGTCAGAGGGCAGGAAGGCTGCTGGCAGGTGGTCTGCGAGTTGGCGAGGAGGAGGTGGGCGGAGGGCGGTGCCGGGCTGTGGGCAGCCAGGCGAAGGCCTCCAGGCTGTGGTGCTGCCCCAGCTGGGCTGTGAGGATGGGGCTTCGGTGCCCTGGCTCTGCTCGTTCACTGACAGGGCCCAGGCAGCCCCTAGAGAGCTGACGGCCATGAGCTGTGGTCTGGGAACTGTCAGCAGGCGACGGAGGAAGTCCTCATTGCTGAAAGGGGGTCTGAGGGGACATCACAGCGTCCACCACGGTCCTGCCCTGTGCCACGGATCGGCACCTTCCTGGGGTTTGGGGAGCAGCTCTTCTGGAACACCAGTAGGGGGAGCTTAGAGGGAGAGTGCTAGGGAGGGACACTCGGAGAGCAGCTTAGGGGCGCAGGACAAACCACATCCCTTCCACCTCAGCTGGCACAGAGCTGCCTCCTGCCCCCGTCCACTCACACCCCTGGCCCTCACCTAACACGACTCAGACCCTCATCCTGGGGGTCCTGAGCCTTGGCTCCCAGGCCTTTCCTAGCCCAGGGCTGCCGCCACCGTCCATTCACCATCAAACAGGGCAAGGGGAGCAGCAAGAGGTGCCTGAGGTGCCTGGGTGGGCGCTGGGCGCAGGTCTTCCCTGCCCCACCCGGGACAGCAGCACTACCTCCTCTTGATGGTCAGGGTCAATCACCCTGCTAGACAGTGGCTCTTCGAACCCAGGCTGAACCCTGGGCTCAGCGGGACATGCCTTGTCCTGTCTCTCCCTTTGGGAAGCAGGCTCTCCAGGCTCTTTGTGGGGACGGGCAGCACCAGCCCCCAGAGGGCCGCCGCACGTGAGGGCAGGCGTGGTGTCGGCGCCACTGGGACTGGCCCAGGCAGGCGCGTCCACGGCTGAGAAGAAACCCCTGCCAAGGGGAATGGTGGGACGGAGACCGCGGGGAAACGCGCACCACTCTGAAGCCCCGTCTCTCCTGTGTGGCTGTTGCCAGAATCTCGGTAACCCTCGTCCTTGGGTGCCTTTTTCATTGCCACTTCTCTCTGCTGCTGACCTTGCTGGAGGCAACGCATCCACAGGGACATAAAGGCTTGGCCGAAAGCTCTATTACCTGTCCTCAGAGGGCAGCCAGCTCCTGAACCTGGAGCGCTTCCGGAGCGCCCCGTGGTCACAAACCTGCTCTTTTCAACATCGCTCAGTAAACCAGAAGGTGAGACCATAACCAGGTAACTTAGACTTGGGACTTGCACGTGCTCCAGAACTGACTAGCCTGGGGCTCTGGTCCCGTCTGGCCGGGGGCTCAGCCGTCTGGGCCTCGACGGCGTGTGGCAGGCCAGGGCAAGGGGCTGCTGTCGCCTCCCGGTGCTCTGCCCACACACAGCGGGAGCTCTGCGCACTGGCTCTGGTGACAGAGGTCATTTCTGGCTCCTGAGGATGTCCCTACTGCTTTGTCATGCGTGGGATCTTCCACACCTTTTTAAATAACTATTCTTCAAGAACCACCAAAATGTATATCCTAATCCATACTGCCTTTCAAAACAGACCTGGGAAGCAAAGCACTAATTCTAATTCTGCTTCAATTCAAAACATGTTTGGAGCTCACCTGGCAGAGCCTTCAGAGTCACCTTACAAGTCACATAAAAAAGCCATGCACACCGCTCTGTCTTGACCAAAACTCTGTTAGGTTTGGATCTCACTTTTTCAGGACTAAAAAAAAAAACCCAAAATGGATTACCAGCACTGAAGACTTTGAACGTGCCCTGAGCTCCGAGGAGCTCCAGACGCTCTCAGCACAGGCGGTGTCGTGAAGAAGTTCACGTCTGGCCGCCCAGGTGATAACTCTGAAGGTGGTGACACTCGCTCGCACACAAGCACTGGGGCGCACGTCCGACTCCTCTGTCTCGCCGTCTGACAGTCACTGTCACGTCTGCCACGCAGGCTGTGTCTTAGTCACACCACTGTGTGAAGTCGGTTCTGAAAACTGAAACTGCTTCTCCCACAAAATAACTGACAAATGATCATTCTTAGTTCTTTCATGATACAGGAACATCAGATCACTTTTAGAAAATTAAATGGCAATTTAAAGCTAATTATTAGCACCTGGAAATCAGTAAATTTTGGGAAAACCTCATGATGATCGAACGCATAAATATGGGTGAGAACGGAACTCAAGGGAACCTCGCAAAAGAAAATTAAACAACATTCCTTCCAATGGTTTACTTTGCTCTCACACCGTGTGGTTGGCCCAACGCGCAGACAGTTGCTTCAGCGACTGGAAGTTTTACCGCCTCCCCCTGACTTCCCCCTGGAAAGCAGCCTGTGGATCGGGAACCAAGTACGAGCAGCCTGGCGTCTCCCAAGGGCCCAGCCGCAGCCCGAGGCACTTCCTGTCAGCCCCAGGCACTTCCTGTCAGCCCCAGGCACTTCCTGTCCCTCTCTCCGGCGCCAAGGGCACTTCATTTAGCCACTCGGGAAGAATTGATTTTCCTGATATCAACTTGGCTCAGAATCAATGTCCCATTTTTGAATTTTCCAACCTGTCCAATCCGACCATTTGACAGAATGCTGGGAGCTGATTTCTTCTTTTTGGATTTCCTACATTGAAAACAAGAGGAAGGTACTAGTTAAGCTTATGAAGAAGAATCGAAGCCCCACTAACCGGACCACCACCGTCCGCTCCTGTAAAGCCCTGTCCGCTCCCCCCGCACAGCCATCTGCCCCACAGCAGTGCGTGGCCTCCCCGCGTCCCTCAAATGCACCAGTGGCTCCTGCCTCAGGGCCTCTGCACTGGTTTCTTCTTTGTGGAATGTTCTGCTACCAGGTCTTTTCAGGCTGGCCCCTCTTCACTCAGTTCTCACCTCAGATGTCACCTCCTAACAATGACATCCCAGTCCATCCCCAACACCTAAGACACCCATGTGCCTGGCACACAGTGGGCCCTCAACAGACACACATATGCGGCCAGAATGCGTGACCAGCTGATGACATGTGCATGCTCACGAGGAGTCCGAGGAAACAGTTAAGACAAAAGGAGTCAATTCTGAAATAGTGATTCAAGGGGAGAGAAGAGGCGCTAGAATAAAAGCCAAGAGACGTGCTTAAGCAACAAAATCGACGTTCCGTTACTCGAATCACGGCACTCTGCCTCGTGCAGTGTGTCAGAGGGCGGGCGCCTCAGGCCCAGGGTGCACTGTCAGGTGCACCAGCAGGGAACTTGCTGGAAATGTCAGCACCTCCACTGCTCACTCATAGTCTCTGGTCTTTGAAAACGGGAGACTGGAGGAGGCTCCGAACTCAGTTCGGAAGTCGGTGTTTGACACTGGGCAATGCACGGAATCCTGTCTCCCCGTTAAAGGGCTTGACGCGGAGACAGGAGAGGCAGTGGAGCACCCTGGTAGGCTAGAGACCCCACCTACGCTCCAGGTGTCTGTTTTCAGAACTAATCAACAGGTTACCCACATCACTCCGTCCGAGCACCTGACGGTGCCACTCACCCGTCTTCCTGCCCTTTCCTCCTCTTCTTGAAAATGTCTGTGTCCCGGGCCTGATTTCAGAGTTAAGGGAACATATGTATCAGCAATGGATGTGGAGACAAAAAAAAAAAGGCAAGAGGTCTGCGATCAAAAGCCACTGAGGTACTATTTATTCTAACGTTTTTGAGTAGACATATTAAAATAAGACTCCAAGCCTCATCCTAAAACCCGTTTGAGAATGTACAAAGCCATTCCAGAGAGCACTGATGGTGGAAATGTTCGACCTCGGTCTCAGACAAAAGGGAGTCTAATATCCCCCCCCCCCCCGCCCGGAGTGTTCCATCAGCCCGTGTGCTGCACAATGTAACATGCACAAAAGGAGGGGCCGACTTGGCCATGGATCAAAGCAGCCGACGGAACCTGAACAGGAGCGGCTACTTTAAGCCAACTGTTGGCGCACAGGTGCCAGATTACTGGGCCGTACAGTAACATGCTGCTGACCTGAATAATGGGAGAGATTCGGATCAAACAACTCTGGCTCCTCCCAGGCAGCCAGGCCCAGCACTTCCCTGCAACGCACTGCAGCTCCCCGTGTGCTCTAGTTTTCAGGCAGCCAGGCCCAGCACTTCCCTGCAACGCACTGCAGCTCCCCGTCTGCTCTAGTTTTGGTGAAGAAGAGGCCCTCACACCTACCATTCTCTTTTCTTCTTCCTTTGCTGCCTTTTTTTCTTTGATCTGCTCCTGCAAAACCTTGTAATTCACGTAACTCTTTTTGGGAGGCTGAAACCAAAGAAAAGGGACATGCATCGTGATTTCTATTTTGCACGCACGTTCCGCAGTCCCTTGCCCTGGCTTGCCGTGCCCCATCTGGGGACAGCAGGCTGCGTAGCCCCTCACCTGAGCGCCCAGCATAACCGCGCGTTCCCGCTCCAGGACTCGCTCCTTCCCTTTTCCGTAGCCCGTGATCCCAAACCGGTGCACCTCCAGCCGAGCCTGCAGACACACGGCAGAATCAGACCCAAGTGCACCGCAGAAAAAAGCCATGCCCAGCAGTGGGGCGTTTCAGATACAATGGCTGTGGGTCAAATACCCGTGTGTATCCTCGAGCCCTGCAGTGGCTGCAGCCAGTGGAGCTCGGCGGTGGTGGCTGAAGGAGCTGTGCGAGGCCTGCTCCGGCACCGCTCCTGTGTCTCATTTGGGCAGCTGAAGCAAAGCACTCTCTTTGCCGTCATCAGTGACAGACCCAGGAGTAAACGCTGGGCCTGCGGCACTCGGCATGATCTCTAAAGGGCCACTGCCCACGGACGCCACACTTTCAACTTCGGAGCATCTCCCCAAGAATGCCTCCTCGTGATTAGAAACCATGTATCACAGCTTTACACACAGACCTGTGTTTTCACTTTAAAGAGAGACTGTAGAAAGGAGAGAAGTCACCAACACCTACTCCTGGCAGTTGAATTATTTCCTGTGTTTTTCCTCGTGCATTTAAAAAACCTACTTACACTCACAGGGTACACGCATCCCTGCTTGTCCTGCTCACCACGTCGTTGGTGCTGCAGAACCATCAGGTTCCACACGACCGCGTGACAGTCACGTAGGTGAATGTAGTGATGTGCTTCGCCACGCCCCGACCCATGGTTAACATATTCGTCTCTCGGGCAGTACAGATTAAAACAGTAACAACTGCAAACACATACCTTTTCTAAGTTAAATTCTTGTGTATTCACGTCTTTCTCAAGGACACTAGTTCTGGTCTGAAAAGGAAAAAATTTCTCATTAAGATCCTCTGTCGCTACATCATTGCAGCATCTACTACCAACCGAGCGGCCACGTTGTAAACAGCCTTGAACTGGTGCCCAAACACCAAAGATACAAGCATGGAGCATTCCCGTTCCCGGTTAACACCCAGTGGAAGAAAAATGGAGGAAAATGTTAAGGTCTCAAGGCTTAAGAAAGGACAGAAGGAAAACTCAGAGAAAAGAAAAGGTAGCGAGCAAGACCTACGCTTGTATCTCGAGTCCGTCCACGTTTGGGGGGGCCCTTGGGAAGCGGTTCAGGGAAGTATAAGTGAGTGAGCAGGGGTGTTAGAGGGTAAAAGGGTTATATTTAAATAATCCCCTCTCCTCTTCTCTCCTGTCCATTCTAATGGCTAACAAAACCAAACCCTGGTGGAGAGGTGGTGTATAATTCCCTACAGGAAACGATACTACAAGCTTTCAAAATACATGACTCTCTCCATCAGTGCATCCTCTGGCTGTGGTTTCCACCCCATAGAACTGACCAGGAAACTGCGCCGTTGAACCTGGCCAGTGACAGAGGCCCCGACTCAACCCGGCCCCAATCTGGACGACAGGAAGCAGAGGGAAGAGGCCACGCAGCACCTGGAGAGGCAGTGCTGCCTGTCTGCTCAGTGGGGTGGGCTGTGCTGGCACGAGTGAGGGCCCCACCTCCCGCCTCACTGACAGGCACCCTGCAGTCCACGTGTCTCCTTGTCCTCCCTCTGCAAACACGCTGTACCTCAGCTTACCCGGTCTGTCCCCTCAACTGTGTGCTGGGTGTGTGTGTCAGTCACAGATGGTGGCTTCCGTCTCCACAAGGACCCCTGCACTAACCTCCCGGGACTGTTACAACAGCACCAGGTAAAATGGCGCAGGGTACAGCTCGGGCCCGGTGAACAGGGAGACCTGACCTGTGCTCTCGGCACCCACTAATCCACAGACGAGGAGCCAACTGGCTCCCGGTGACCTCGCAGCACTGCTTGTCCGCTGTCGCATGGACGCCGGCTGTGGGTGTGCCTGGCGCTGGCTCACAGGATCCCACACAGAGGGCGTCTGCCGTGCTCAGGCACGTGGCCAGCTCTGGGCGGTCAGTCCCACAGACGCACCGTCCATGTTACCAGGCTTCTATTATGCTTCCAATTTGTTCAGACTCACACAGTTCCCAGAATTGAATGCCTTCACTGAGACCCAGGCAGAGCTCAGGGGCTGCTGTGTGGGGCACGCTGACATACCGACCCCCGAACGGCTTATTTCCTCTTCTGCTACTGGAACAATTCTACGTGGACTGTGACGTTAGGACCTCTTTTCTATTCCATTAGTTACACTAATGGTCCAACTTTTGTTCAACTAGGGATAGTTGGGTAAATAAATACTCTTTTTAAAATTCAAGTAGTTCTAGGAATACTGAGAAATGTATTCATATCTGTTAAAATGAACAAATAGAGACCAGACTTGAAGCCTCCCTGAGCAGACAAAGCCAGTTGAGTCACACCAGCCAAGCTTAATATGGCTCATTTTGCAAGACAAGCGAGGCTAGCTTGATCTGGGTCACTTCTTGCTTTTGCCTTTGAAAGCTGTAAATGAAAAACTCACCCCCCAAATTAGTATGAGATAACCACTAACCATCCCCTTCCATTTAAGGAAACTCGGACACTGTAAGCAATCACTGTGAAGAGCGAAGTCCCTGACTGCGCACGCGTGGAGCCGCTCCGGAGCAATATCCCGGAGTCTCGTTCCACATCTCAGTGCACACGCGCTGTGGGGCTGCACACGGCGTGGCCTACACACTCTCACTACTTACTGCTTCCACAGCTCGCTGGGTTCACTTCTGTCTTGACAAACTTCTGATGTATCACATTGACTCTAAATTACTTCAACCAGATCACTTCCTTCTCAACACATACCTGACACTGGATCTACAGAAGGGGGGTGCCACACAAAGTTACAGGGTGTCGCTGGAGAAGGGAGCGCATCAGGGTAGAGCCTGGGGAGGGATCCAGGTGACGCACAGAGGATGAGGGCAGCAGGACCCTGGGGCCATAACTTGGGACAAAGTCCTCTCGTGTCAGTGCAGGTTCTGGACGAGAGCCCAGCCTGTATCCGGTCCCGCAGTGTAGCTCAGTGGTCAGGCGCACAGCTTCGAAGACAGAAGGCAGAAGGCCTGGGGCCGAACCTGGGCTCTGGCACTCACTTCACACCCACCGCCTCCACCTGCTACCCCCGCACAGTGCAGTTCTTACACTTCAGAAAGGTAAGATGTGAGTGTCCCGAACGTTGTATACCACTTCCGGTGGGGCCCAGACAACCGCCCCTAACTAGGCACATCCATATTTGTGCAGCTTCTATGAATACCATGCCAAATGGAACAAACAAAAATAATTCTGAAGCCTCAGTTCAGGTCAGGTTTTGCTGCCAAATAAATCTATACCAAATTTACCAAAACCCCCTTCCCCCCTAAGTTGTAATTTCCAAAGCTCTGGGGTTTTACAGCTATGGATTTGAGACTGGGGGTTACTGTTTAAATGCATACAAATCATTTAAAATGAAGACAGGCAGGCCCCAGGAATTGTGAGGCTTTGGAAAGATAATAAATTAATCGATAGAATAATCACTTTCAGTACACAGGAAGCACCCAGTAAACACTGGGGACTACCAGCAACCCACTGCACGCTCAGAAGTGGTCTCCATGGACCTCAGTCCAGGCCACGGGAGCAGAGAGTCCCGTCCAATCTTGTGTGTCTTCTACTGTGTCTTTCTTATCCCTCTTCTACACAGGCCACAAAGGAAGATAAGGTACATGCCCAGGGGAGGCAATGACCTTTGTCAAGATGGCCCAATGTCAAGGGTGGAGGAATGGCACTTAGAAGGCCTGTCCCTAAGGGCCAAACAACACTTGGGTTCTTTCAAACCATACACGGCACTTTGTGAAGAGTGGGCCCCCCACTCATCCTCAGACGCCAAGCCCAGGCCACCCCACTGGGCCGCGTCCACCACAGCACAGTCCTGATCGGCCCCTCCCGCTCTTCTGAGAGCCAACCTGCACCCCATTTACTAGGCAGGGGTCAGAGTGATCTTTCTAAACTACAAATCCCCCCATTCCCGTGCTTAAAACTTCTGACGGCATTTCGTGTTCCTGAAACTAAATCCGAAGGTCTCACCGCCCCTCTCCCTCCTGGCCTACCCCTCTGGTCTGCCGGCCTCGGGCTCCTCCACGCCGGACAGAGCAGTCGCCTCCTCAGAGACTGACCTGAGGGAGGTTCTGCCTGTGACTCTGCCCCTGTCTTTCCTTCAGAGTGTTTCTAACTCTGTTTAAGGGTATTATTCGTTTTCTTGGGGGTTGCCTAATGCACAAGGAGAGCAAAGGACTGTATCTGGTTTACTGCTCTCTCCTGGGTTTGGCAAAGAGCAGGCACCCCATTATTTGTGAAATAAATAAATGAATAGATAAGCATCTCTCACCTACTATTCCCAGTCAGACTACTCTGGGATGTGACACCCTGGCCAGGTGACTCGGTTGGTTGGAGCATCTTCCTATGCACCAAAAGGGTTGAGGGCTCGACTTCCGGTCAAGGCACATACCTAGGTTATGGGTTCGATACCCAGGTGGGGTATGTATGGGAGGCAAGTGATCGATGTTTCTCAAATACATGTCTCTCTCTCTCTCTCTCTCATCAATAAAAACATGTCCTTGGGTGAGGATTGAAAAAAAAAACTAATTAAATGGGACATGACTAGGAAATTCATTCATTGGTTAGCAAGGGTAAAATGTTAAATAAATGGTGGCCAAGCTCCCAAAGAAACCCACTGAAAGGGGTCCTGGTCCCCACTCCCGACGTCCAGGGAGATCTCTCCACACACCCGACAGGCTGGGCCGGCTATGATGCAGCCCCGCTGCTCAGTGCTGCAAGGCCGCCCTCCACTTCAGACGGCCATCGCCCGAGTCCGGGTTGTTCCCCGTGCTTCCGACCAGCTGGCTGGAACGCAGAGACTCCCACAACCCCCCTCTCGAGTTCAGTTAATGTGCCAGGGCGACTCACAGGACTCAGGAAGCCTGTTCACTCGCCGGATCCCTGGTCTGCTATAAAGGAGAGCCAGATGGGAGAGAAGCGTGGGGCGAGACACAGGGAAAGGGTGGGGGGCCGCCACGCGCCACCTCCCAGCACCTCCACATGCCCCCACCAGGAAGTTCTCAGAACCCTGTCCCTCTGGGATTTTACGGATGCTTCATTACAGAGGCATGATGGATTCAAGTCTGGCCCTTGTTCACTGAACTCCCTCTCCAGCCCCGCCCCTGCCCGGAGGTAAGGGCAGTGGGACTGAAAATCCCAACCCCCCAGTGACAAGGTTGGTTCTCCAGGCAACCAGCTGCCACCCCCAGATGCTTCTGCACATCAACTCACTCACCTGAAAGACACCTTCATCACTCTCATCCCCCAGGAAGCCCAAGGGCTTGGCAAGTTCCATGCCAGCATGGGGACAAAGACCAAATGAATGTTCATTATACCTCACATAACCCCATGAACACCTGCTTCAATACACAATGCAGCCAAACAACAGCACTGACAGCACAAGCCCAAGTTCTGGGAAAAGTCATTTCCTGGGTCCAGGCTGGACCGCTGCCCACCTGGACAATACCTCCTCTGTCCTCGAGTACTCTGCGGAGAAGACCAGCTGAGTCCATGACCGACCAAGGGAGGCTACCCCTATTTTATCATATGCATTTGCTGATTCCGTATCTGTTTGGACTGTCCTCTAACAACCCGTAAGCTTTCAGAGAGCCAGGGCACAGGATATTTCACCATGTTATAGAAACTTTTAGCACGACGCCCTGGCTGGTACGGCTCAGCGGACTGCGTGCTGGCCTGTGAACCCAAGGGTCGCAGGTTTGGCTCCCGGTCAGGGCACACGCCTGGGTCACAGGCCAATGTTTCTCTCCCTCACTTTCTCTCTCCCTCCCCAGCTCTCTAAAAATAAATAAATAAAATCTTTAAAAAAAATCCCTTTAGCACTATATGTCCTAATTACCCCAACTGACCGATTATTCTTTAGCTGGTATTCCCTACACCCAGGATAGGCCAGAATAACTAGCACTGAATTCACCTGTGATATTTACATGGTGCAATGTCCACATTCTAAAGCCTTTTTATGTGCATATATGGTTTTCCTGTGTCCACACAATGTCTCCTTAGCCGGACACAGTCACACTTTCAGAGTTTAGGTTTTAAAAAGGGGAAAAGGGCAGAGCACCGAGGATGACGGGAAACGTTCGCTAACGTGAGGACGTCCAAAATGTAGAAAGAGTCGAGGTTCCCAACAAAAGCCAACTGCACGGAAAAAGGGCCCGTCTGGGGGAGGAAGAAGAGACAATTCAACAGCCTCCCGCAGACGTGTGATTATTACGAAACAGGGAAATGCAGACTCACTCGATGCCAACATTTGTCCTTTCTATTGAAAAGAAAACTTTCCACTCCAGACAGAGAAACACAAGTGAATGTAAGAGGAAACTGAAGACCTAGACTTCAAGGGAACAAGGGTAGCTAGGTTCTCCAAATTCAGAATTATGTGGCAGAGCAGTGGTACAGGCCCCGGCCGGGTAGCTCAGTTTGCTAGAGTGCCATCCCGGTGCACCGAGGTTGCGGTCCAGCCCCTGGTCAGGGCACATACAAATGTTAACCAATGAATGCATCAGTAAGTGGAGTAACAAGTTGGTGTCTCTCTCTCTCTCAAATCAATAATTTTTTTTTTAATAAAGGCAGTGGTACATACAGAAAATCCTAATATTTATATGGCACACCGGGGTAATTAATGCTACTCACTGTAAGCTACCCTGGCCAGCCGGTTTGGGAGCTCTGGTAGGACTAAGGGCTGAAGGAAATCTGTTTCCCAGCCAGCCTGTAGCAGTTCCCAGCACCTAGAATTGGGAGTACAGTTGTGGGAGAGCTGCCCTAGAATCCTAAAGTAAAGGCAGAGATGATTACAGAATGCACGGATAATCTTTGAGGAGACACTGCTGAGCTGGACGTGAAGTGCTCCCCGAACTGTAAAAAGACTGCACGGGGGGCGCGCTAAACCACGAGACAGATGTGGGAAACGCTGGGCACGGATGTGGCCATCCGTTCATAAACCGCCATCTCTGCAGTGGGATGAACTGCGGTCTCCAGAAAGGTACGTCCCTCTTCTCATCCCCTGTGAGCGTGACCTTGGTTGGAACAAGGGTCTTTGTAGTATAACTGAGGAAGTCGTGATGAGACCCATCCTAGGTTTAGGATGAGCCCTAAACCAGCGAGGGGCACCTAAGAGACAGGCACAGGGAGATTTGAGACTCCGACACACCGGAAGAAGGCCCTGTGAAGACAGACGCAGAGGTTAGAGTTCTGCAGCTGAGAGCCACCAGAAGCCGGACGAAGCAAAGGAGAATTCTCCTGTTAGAGGAGATTACGGCCCGGCCATCACCTTGATTTGGAACTGCTGGCCTCCAGAACTCTCTGGGGAGAGAGTATCCGCACAGCAGTCCTAGGAAACGAACACAATCCTCTTTTATGACGGACGAAAATGTACAGGATGTGGGGAATGCTATAGGAATGGAGTATCTGGACTTCAGCAACGAACCTGACCACACCCTCATGCTAGCCTTGCGCAAAAAGTCAGGGACTGAATTCTGAGTGAGGCTCACAGATTGAGTCTGAGAAAGACTGCTGCTCAGTAAGGTCAAACTCGTTTGCATCAGGATGTGTGCTCCTGGAGAGCAAGGAGCTTGTCTATTTTGTTCAATGCTGTCTCCTGGTGACTAGATCGGTGGCCAAAAAACAGTGGTTGAGAGAGTTTTCTCTGTGTACGCTCCAGCAGAAAGGGTAAATGCGGCATGCTTGGGTTTATCAAACCCTGCACATCCCAAAAAAGTCCTGTTTTCATGATTGGCCCTGGGCTGGCTCCTGGGGATGGAGCAACTAGAATATTCTCTCTGAGAGTGTTTCTTCACAGCTGAAGCCCTGTGCCACCTTGTATGTACCAAAGCTGCCTGGAGAGTTAATACGACCACTCCCACTCACCTGTGGGGATACATTCCAAGGCCCCCTGTGGCTGCCTGAAATGCAGATAGTACTGAACCCCACGTATACTGCACTTCTTCCCACACAAACACACCCATGGCGAAGTTCAATTTGCAAGTCAGGCACAGAAAAAGACTACCAAAACTCACAGCACGACCACGAAGACATACTGGGAGCAGAGTCATGTGGTCTCTCTCTGATAACCAAGACAGCTACCGTGCACCTAACGGGCAAGGGGCGCCTGTAGTGTGGGTACCCTGGACAAAGGGACGATGCGTGTCCCAGGCGGGACAGTGCCGGACAGGACGAGACTTTTCACACTCTTCAGAATGGCATGCAACTGCAAAATTATGAACCGCTTCTTTCTGGAATTCTCCATTTAATATTTTCCAGCCATGGGTGACTGTGGGAAACTGAAACCACACAGACAGAAACTGCCAATGAGTGGGGACTGTTGCACCAACAATGTGATTTATGGTGAACACCTGCTTTTCCTCTGGGGGTCTAGAACTTCACTAGGGCTCATCTGCATGATGGACCCTCATCAAAAACCAGGGATGCCCAAGCTGTGGCGCACCTCCCTACTCGGCAGCACTTCCCATGGGCTGTCACATATCACCCCTGGGGAGATGAAGCCCGTCCCACGCAGCTCCCCTGGGAGGGGACCCCTGACACCGCTCCCAGTTTCCTCAAGACACCACTCCAGGTACCTTCGCCTTTGCTGATGCTACGCTGTCTCCCTTTGCTGTGATAAATCATAACTGTGACAGTGGTTGAGAGAGTTTGCTGTATGCTGTGTCCTCAGTATGCTAACTGCTTTTAGCACGTCCTCGAGCCTGGGGGCGGTCTTGGGGACCCCTGATGTAGTCTATGGAGACAGTCACCTAATACTTCAACATCGGGGTTTTCACCTTTTACATATAAGCTAGCCAACTCACTACCTTTGTGTTCTCATCTTGGTCCGGCTTCTGTTTTCTCTTTTTACTTCTGCTGCGGAATTCCACCACTTGTACTCGCTCCCTGTTGTCCAGGGGACAGGGGGCTGCGGCACCACAAGGGACTTGTGGTCCTGCAGGGGCACCAGTGGGGGCTGCGGCAGGGGAACCCCGAAGCTCTTCTCTGAGCTCCAAGAAGAAGGCAGAAGTGCTCTTCCTCTGGCCTCTTACAGGGGAACCAGGTGGGGGAGCTGGCTCTGCCCCCAAGGCCACTGGAGTCTCCACATCCCTCTGCTTGTTTTCCTTCTTCTTTCTGACTCGTTTCCGTTCTGCTTCATCTTCCGTCTCTCCTGTTTGCTCAAACACAAGAAGAAAAAAATAAGTATTTTTGGTTTTAGCTACCACCCACATCAAATCATGTGAATGCACATTATCTTGTGCCCCAGCCAGAAAACACCCCGGTATGCACACAAAGAAAAAAAACTAATTGTTTTTCTTCAAAGAGGGCTGCATTTGCACAATTCACAGAACCCAAAGTGCATAGTATCTGCCCCTAGGTAACTATACTTATGTCTTTGACTCCTATTAGCATAGTTGTTTGAGTCTTCACCTCAGTCCTTAATAAAGTGTCATTGTGACAATAGCCCCAGGCTGGTAAACCTTGTTGGCTCACTTTTGGTACTAAAATTGCAGCTAGTGCTTCTTGTTAACACTTCCTAGGCTTACAGGCAGGGATTACGGTTTTCCTCTCTTCTGTCATTTGTGAATGAAAATGAACCTACCACAACAGGCTTAATCTGAATGCCTTAATTTTCTAAATCCCCATAGCTTCCGTTTGTTTCACCTGTTCCAATTCTGACCACTCACCTGAAGGTTCGGACACGAATTCTGGCCTCATCCCTCACCTAACAGTACAAATGCCACAGGACTCTCCAAACAGCAGCTGCTCATTTACATTTGCTTCTGTTTGCTTAGTCTTTCACTCAATACTAAGAGCCAACTAAACTTTGGAGTTTGGGATATAACAATGAGCAGTTAATAGCCCGTGCCTTCAAAGCCTCATTTCCATCCTGTGTTCACAGATACTATGTCCTGGATTTTGCAGCTTAGCCTTTTCCTCTACATTTTAAGCTTTTCAAGGTCAGAGACTAAGTCTCCTCTCCCTTCCGATGTTCCCAAGGGCACAGTGATGCCCTGGTCACAGTACAAAGTCAACACAAGTACAGACACTGGAGCTAGATTCTACAAATTGAACCTGGCCTCTGCAGATTCATAAAGGGTTTTAATCTCGCACATGTGTCTCTACGCTTGTAATAATGGGACTATTGACAGTATCTAGTTTGTGGATTGCTGTGAAAATTAAATCAGTAAATACATGAAAAGCATAGAGTACCTGGTACGTTTTCAATACTCCTTAGCTATCACTTTTACTGTTAACTGAGCTTAGAATTTTGAGCAATGGCTCCAAAATAAAAATGGCTTTTGCAACATCACATTCCAAATTTAAGAAGATTATCTGTGATGCAGAAACGAGACAACTCATTCCTTCCCTGAGGCCAGTCCTTCTGAGTGTGTGGAGTCAGCGGTTGCCAAATTATAATGGCAAGTTTTATTTTGCTTTCCTCCCATCAAGATGAAAGGAGAGCATAAATCGGCCAATTTAAGGTTGTGAAAAGCTTCATGTGAAAAAGTTCTCTCAAGTCCTGGGCAAGGGAACACTCTATAGGCTGAGGCCCCATCATGTGATAAGGAGATGCTAACTAACTAACATAGGAGGGTCAAGCTGGATCCGGGGAGTGGTGAGGTGAGGGGGGTTCCCAGGGGTCCGGAAACCGCGTGCATCACGGTTTTCAGACCCACCCCCGTTAGGTCTGAAAGCCCTGGTGCTTCCGACAGCTAGGTTGGTCCCCATTCTAAATGTTGGGAGATTTGACTCATGAAGAATAACTGGACCACGGGGGCAGAAGAACGGTGACAGGTGGAGAAGGTGTGTTCTGAACCCAGAACGGTACAGGGTGGATGAACTGAGGGGTGCTGGGCTTGCAAAAACCTTTAGCCCGAAAGAGGAGGCCTGCCCAGTTCACCGCGCACAGCAGCCCCTCAGCCCCTCAAGTCGGCTCTCCACGTGGGCCCCGAGGCCCCGCACTCACCAAAGTCGTAGAGGTTCTGGAGCACTTCGTCCAAGAGCTGAGAAGACCGGGGCGAGGAGGACCCCAGCCCCTGCTCCAGCGCCATCATGGAGTCGGACTCAGCTGCATACCCCAGAGCCCTCGGGGACCAGAGCGCCGCGCGCCCGCTTCCGGGTTCCGCGGGCTGCGCGCGCGCCGCAGGTCCCCGCGCGGCTTCCGTCCTGGTTAAGATGGCGGCGCCCGGGGTCCCGTGGAGCGGTCGCAGAGGGTGCCACCGCCCTCGGCGAGGTCGGGCCGCCCCGCGTGGAAGAACCGCCCCCAGCCACCACACCACCTCCGCCTAGCAAAGCATCCGAGGCCCCGCCCGGGACAGCAGCCGCACCATGGATTCTTCCAGTCCATCTAACTCCTGTTTTTCCGTCGGCTCCAGCAGTCCTGGTGCTGTCGTGCTCCTGTACTCGGTAGGCGCCCAGGGAAGCAAGGCCGGCGGCGGGCCCGACAGGGGACCCCCTTCTCCCCGTCCCGTTTCCTCCGGACCACGATCCGTGGCCCAAAGAGCGGATCCCGACTTCCCCAAGGAGGGATGGGGTGGTTGACTTGGTTTCCACGGCAACGATGTCCCGCTGTGTGTGTGTAAGTGCGCGTGTGGAGAAGTTTACACCGGTGATGGTTCCTCCGATTCCCTTCCACCCGTTCCTTGTCTCTCCCTCCACTAGGCGCTGGGCCTTCGGAAAGCCCCAGCCTGACTTGAGAATGAGGCGTGAGAGTTGGACGCTCTGCATCTCTAATGAGGACGTGTCGGGCTGCCTTTTGGGCAAGCCTGAGGAACCTGCGGGTCCTCCCCAGCCCGAGTTCCCCACCCCGCCCTTTTGCTGCCCCTGTATTCCTGGCAGAAAAGTATTTGGCTCATCTGTGGGCATAGAGTTTTTACGACTTAAATCTTTTCTTAATCTGGGAAGATTTGGAACTTCTGGAAATTTGTGTTGCCTGTTTGTGTCTTTCATCTGTCATTGTACTTTTCCCACAGTCGTCATTTTGGAAGACAATGAGTGGTACCTAGCCTCTCTCCAGCTTGCCTTTTTACCCCCCAACCCTGTCTGTCTGTCTGCCTGCCTCCGTCTCCTGAACTGGTCCTTCTTTTCTCTTGCCAACAACACGTTTATTGGTCACTAACAATTTTCCTGATAGCTTTGTAGCTCAGGATTGCACTGTCCTGGGGTACCTGGTCAGTTTTTTTTTAACCCCTGGATTAATTTCTATCTACTTTAGGAGGAAATAAAAATGCATTTTAATGGTATGTTACCTGCGTTCCTAAGCGGTTAGTGTTAGTTTCTGACTTAAACATAATTTGTGTAGGAAGGTCAAAACAGGGAAAACAGAAAAAAGCAAGATAAATCCCCCCCAAAAAAGTTTCAAAAGACCATGGCTACCTTCAAACTGGGACATCAGTATTCCTTGGAACATGGAGAAATTTCTCTTTGTCCCAGTCAAGAGATCTTAATTGCTGTTAAATGTCCGTTTTTCAAGCTCCTCTCCTCATGGCCCTTCTCACCCCCACAGTCCGAAATATCTTGACCTCTAACTCTGCTACTCCAGAGGGAGAATGCCAGGAATGCGGAAGAGGGTTGCCCTGTAGCTCTGCCTTCCCCCCCCAGTCCCGAACTGGTCTGTGAATTGAGCATGCTCTCTGAAGGAAACAGCTCACATTTTACTTCCCCATTCACCAATGGCTCTTTACGATATGACTTTTCTCACCTCCTCACGCGAAAGACTGGGGCAGTTGTGTATGAGCTTTTTCAGCTCTGACGCTGCACACTTCTTGTGACTGCACAGTTTTTAATTCATAGCCTAGTAACTATTTTAGGCCATCGTTATTTCCTCAGGCACACTGTGATTGTGCAGTGCTCTGTCTAATCTGAGAATGATATTGGAGATATTTAAGTTCCTGCTGATTGCAACAAATATTCCAGCAGTGGGTATCTACAGTGTTTTTCGTTGTCATTCTCAGTGTCCAACATAGAAGTTAAAGATCCGGCCCTCGCCTTCAAGGACTTCAAAAGAAATCATAAAGTAAACAAAAGCTACAGTGAAGTAGGATAAGGGCAGTGGTTGAAATATGTACAGTGTGTTATGGGAGAATGAGAAGGAGCACCCTGACCCATTCGGGGACTGTAGGGGAGAGTGACGCTGAGCTGAGTTTCTGAGCTGTGAATGGACGATGAGGGAGAGGAAGCTATTCTAGACAGTAGTGTGAGACTGCCTTGCATGTTTGGGGGAACCAAGTCATTAGGGAAGGGTAAAATAGAGGGGGCATGAGAAACAAAGAGTCTGGTTGGGGAGGGAATTTGATGCCTCCATCATGGAGCTGGGTCTAGATACCTTTGCAGTAACCCAGAGAAGGGACAACAGCCTGAGGAAGGCAGTGGCTGGGACTCTGGGGAGAAGAACGGAGGGGAGAGCTGGTGGCGCCCAAGGAAGAGGAAGCAGTCTGAAGTTAACTCCTGGCTTCTGTGACGTGGCACCTGGGTGGACTACGATGTCTTTCACAGATAGGAAATGCAGGAGAAAAGCGGGCTTATCGGGGTCATATAATGCTTAGGGTTGTGTTCTGTTTGAGATATGAGAGGTGGAGTTAATGATTTTTAATTTGCGGGTTATTATATTATGGACCAGATACTTCGCAAGGGACTTGGGAGACATCCAAATAGAGTTAGAAATAGTGGCCGAGCAGACGAGGAAGGGCTGCTCTAGATGTGGAGGTTTGGCCGCCATCAGCAAGTAGGTTGTGTCCAAAGCCACAGGTCTGCTTGAAATCGCCCGATGAGGCCACAGAATGAAAAGAAGAATGGGGATGGGTGGTCACTGGTGTACCTGGCATCCCCTCCACCCAAACTGTCGCTTCATGTCAGGGTCCGAATGAAAAAAATCTCAAGTCCTTACAGTGTGTTACAAGACGCTACATCACCAAGTGACTGCCACCTCTGATTTTACTGCGAGTGTCTGCTGGGCTGCAGCCACACTGGCTCCGTGTTTCCCAGACAGTGAGCATGCCTTCTCCTCAGAGTGCTCGGGTCCCCTCTGTGTGGCTGCTGTGTGTTGCCAACATTGCTGGCTTCTTTATTATTGAGGTCCCAGCACAAGTAGTCCCCCCTCAGGGAGGGCTCCCCAACCATTCCATCTGAAGTAGCGCTCTGCTCATTTTCTCATTAGTCACCTTCCTCGTGCTCCTTATGTTCTCTTTCTAGTAGTGGCTGCAGGAGTCTTGTACTTGTCATCAGGCTGACTGTTAGATTTGCATGAAGTTTGCAAGCCCATTGTTGAAACACAGCCATTATTTAAAATTAAAGATTAAGGGGGTGCAGGGAGGTAGAGGAAGATACAGGGGGAGTGGTGATGGAATGAACTGGACTTGGGGTGGTGAACACACAGTACGATACACAGATAATGTACTGCAGAATTGTATATCTGAATTCTATATAATTTTATTAACACATATCACCCCAATAAATTCAAGAAAAAAAACTAAAGGTTAGGTTATAAGTTCACCATTAAATAAATCCTGTTAAAAACAAAAGTGATATATATACTCAAATATCAGCACTTCCTGATTATCTTACAAAATTTTACTCTTTGTGCTTTTGAGTTTGCACAGGTCTGTTTATCACACTGTGAGGTGGACAGCCTGTGTTAACAGCAGCTGATCTCATGTCTCTCCCCACTCCATGTCCAGTGAGGTCACACTGGCAGCTCAAAATCCACCGTGGGGGGAGCACACTTGTATAGCCCAGAAGGGCGCTGAGGCTGCGAGGCAGGGCTCTCCCACAGTCCGACCGTGGCTGCGCAGCTGCACAGCTGCACAGCAGGTACTGCTGCTGCTGGTGCTGGCAGAGTGCCCCAGTGAAAGTGTGGTCTTTCCTCAGGGAGTGAGCTCCCTCGGGGCGTATTCCTGGTCCGCTTTGGCCGTGCTGGATTCTCAGCCTGTAGGACTGGGCCTGGTATTGTGGGTCTCAGTCAACAGCAGGTGAAGGAAAAGGAAGTGCAAGGACAGGCCTATATGAGATAGTTACGAGAAGGAAAACAAACAGTGGGAGAAAAAGACTTCACCCATGTCTCACTTGGCCGCCTCTCTACTGTGCTCCTGGGTGAGTAGCTGTGTAAATATATTTATCTCTGAGGGTAAATGCTTTTCCAGCATGATACAGGAAAGGACAGTTAATTAATCAGCCTGTGTGTAGGAACTACTTGGCGTACTTTTAGAAATAATGCTGATACCCAGGCAGCTCTCAGAGACCAAATTTATCAAGAATCTCTAGGGGACCTGGGCATCAGTATTTTTTAAGTGTCACAGATTATTTTAATGTGCAACCTGAGTTAAAAACCACTGGATTAGACCACTGGATTAGCTTAGGGCCAGATGGGCAGCAGTTTGAACTTGAGCCTGTGAATAGCAGGGAATCAACAGGATTTAATAAGAACCTTCACTCAGTAACTTTCCTGTGCATTCTATAATGATGGAGTTCCTACTAGGAACCGGGAATACAAAAACGTGTAAGACACATTACCTACCCAGACAAGAAGTTCACAGTCTGGGGGGGGGGGGGCACCAAACATGAGTTTATTGACTATTTTAGATGCCATCATGAAAATGTGTTGAAGGTTCAGTAAAAACTCAGTGGAGGCCCTGGCTGGTGTAGCTCAGCGGATTGAACGCAGGCCTGTGAGCCAAAGCATCGCCAGTTTGATTCCCAGTCAGGGCACATGCCTGGGTTGCAGGCCAGTTCCCAGTATGGGGTGTGCTAAAGGCAACCACACATTGATGTTTCACTCCCTCCCTTTCTCACTCCCTTCCCCATCTCTCTAAAAATAAATAAATAAAATCTTAAAAAGAAAACCCAACTCAATGGAGAAGATGACCAGTTCAGTCTAGGTTCAGGGAGAATTAGAAAATGGTATAGGAGGTAAATGGGCTGTCGTTGACGGCTGAGCATTTTCCAGGTGAACAGCAGGGAAGGGCCATTTGTAAAGGCCCACTGTGTCCCTGGTTACTCCCAAAAGAGACTGAGTCTGTAATCCCAGCACTTACCACAGTGCCAAGCATACAGTAGGTGCTCAAATACTTGATAATGAGAGTTATCCCTAGAGGTAGCCACCTCTTGAACAAAGCCGTGGGGAGCCACGAGACATTGTGGCGGGTGTAGGGAGCTG